GACGAAAACTTCGTAACATAAGGCACCTGTATACAAGGAATGAAGCATCCAGGTCTTTTCCCTCTGAACTAAAAACTTTATACAATAGCTTATATATGCCGACGCCGGATTGCATTCAATCCCTATGTCTCACATTCTGCTACTTTGGTCGCAGGCGAAACAAAAGTAAAATAATTCCATACTACTAAAGGAAGCGAAAGATATGAAAAAAATATGGAATAACCTTCATCAATTTAATTATTACAATAAAGACCAAAATTTTAGAAAGAAATAAAAATTGAAAGCTTAGAATGAAAACTAGAGGCTCTAAAGAGCCTGTGTCGCTCACCTTCATCTTCAACAATGGCCTCTTTTTGAAAAAAAAATCATCACGAAAGGGCAATAACTGCATAAAGAGTTATCTGACAATTTCAGTCATGTTGACATATTTGTAGATCTTGTCATGCTGATCATTTTTGCTTTTTAATGTTTCTATGTACATTTGTATCCATTCTACTTTTCAAGATGATAGGCAAATACTTTAATAAAATGGTAATAAACGGTTGACACAGAGATATATGTCTTGCCTGTCGGCATAAAATTCAGAAAAAGACAATCAGATGGACAGCAACATTGCTAATTAATTCACTCGCTGGACCATGAACTAGTGGGTAGGGCCTCGAAATGGTCAACAAACTGAGATGTATGGACAGACTGAGATGTATGGACAGAAATGTAACTTTATAGAAAATATAATTGTCTTTTGTAAGTAGTTCCTATCAAACTAACTAAAGCAGAAAACTTTACATTGAAAATTGGTAATTAATTCAAAGACAATGGCCATGACCTAAGGGACAGGGCCTCCAAATAGTCGTTAAACTGATATGTACTGATAGTAATTCAACTTCATACAAAATATCATTGATCATATCACAAGTAGTTCCTATCAAACTAACTAAAGCAGAAAACTTAACATTTAAAATTGTTAATTAATTCAAAGTCACTGAACCTTGACCTAAGGGACAGGGCCACAAAATAGTCATTAAACTGATATGAACTGATGGTCTCACAATCCGAGAAAATCACCTCTAAGGGCATACGATACAGTTACTGGGGAGGTAATGACATTGCTAATGTATATGTAATTTTCGCGACGTCAAACTATGACATATCGGGAAAAGATGCCTTTTTCGAGTGATTTTGATTATTAGCTTGAAAACGAGTACATGGACCCCTCTTTTTTAAATGACGATTGGCTTGATTATGTATGAAGATTATTTGTTCCAATTTTTTTTAAATCAGATAAATATACTGGAAAAAATGCCGGTATTTCTAAAATCATGAAAATTTAGTAAAAAATTAATTATTTCCACAGAATTTTAACACAAATTTAGAGCATACTTTGGTAAAGAAGATATTTCATATCTTTTTACAAAAACCCGCATGTGTTTGTCTTTTAAAATAAAAAAAGTTAAGTATGTCTGTCCAAAGGAAAGAAACGTCAAAGAAGCCGAAATTTTGGGTAAATGTCTAAAATTTCAACCAAATTTATCTCGAAATGTAGCTCATGGAGGTATATTTTTTATTACATATTTGTGAATGACGAGGTGAAAAATAGCTTGTATACATGCAACTTTTCGTTGAAAATAGCTTGTATGCAACTTTTCGTTAAAAAATCACCATGGGATCAAAACTGTATCGTATGTCCTTAAAGGACAATAACTACAATAACGAGTCGACTGAAGATTTCAGCTATATGGCTTATTTGTAGATCTTGTCTTGCTGAATATTTTTGCTATTCAAAGTTGCTATCTATCTATTATAATTTTCAAGATAATAGGCAAAAATGCTAAAAAAAAATGGAAAAAAATCATTATTATAGGGCGATAACTTCAATAAGGAGTCGACTGACGGACGATTTCGGTCATGTTGACTTTTTGTAGTTCTTGTCTTGTTGACCATTTTGCTATATAAAGTTTCTATCTATCTATTTTAGCTTCTAAGATATTAGGCAAAAATTATTTTGTAGATCTTGTCTTGCATATCACTTTTACTAATTAAAGATTCTTTCTATCTATTATATATTATTGTTTTCAAAACAAGTGAAACTGTGAGCTACTGCTCACTGATGATACCCCCGCCCAAATATATCTGTAAACAGGAATTTGTTGAGTGATGAATCTGAAAACGCATCACATGGTATAGCTGACTCATATAAACCCTGAAACCAAATTTCAGAAATCTTTGAAATGTAGTTCCTGAGAAAAATGCGATGAAAATATTCATGGGACGGACGGACGGATTGACGTATGGACTGACGGATGGACGCATGGGTGGACGGACGGACAGACAGAGGTAAAACAGTATACCCCCACTTTAAAGTGAGGGTATAATAATCAATAAAAACGAAAAAAAATGGTAAAATTTTACATTAAAGGGCAATAACTCCTATAAGAAGTCATCTGACAGTTTTGGCGTAAATGGACAGAAGGTAGATCTCAATATTCTGAACATTTTTGCCCTATCAGATTTTCTCTATTCATAGCGTTTTCAAGATAGTAGACAAAACTTGCATTTAACCCTTATGTTCTAATTTCAGCCATGTCGGTTATGTTGGTTGGCAGGCGGGGTCATCGGACTCATTTTTACTTCCAATAGAATTTGGATTTAGTTAAGAATGTCATTCTTATCCATTTTTACGATAGTTACTCAAAATTTGCCAAAATCAAGCAAAATTACAGTTTACAGTCATATCAAGAAATCTAGTTTAGATATTTGTTCAGAAGTATGCCAAAACGTTACTAGAATTAGATTACATTCGAATAGCTTGTATACCGTGATTTTCAGTGAAGATTTTGAGTTTTTGAAAATGGCCCTGGTGTGAAGTAAATTCAGGGAAAATTGGCCCTTCCTCTACACTTGTTCATTGCTTACTTACTTCTTTAGTAAATTATCATAGTAAAAGTAATGTCAATTAGTATCTAATATTTGAAAATGTTCTTTGAAAAGAGAAGTCAGGTTAATACTGATAAGCGAAGATCAATAAAACTTTGAAATTTTTCTTGAAAAATAAGACTATAAATGTTCAACAAGAGTGTACACACTGAAATGTCTCGTCTGTTTTACTGATTATGATTGATTTTATGCTGAAAGTCTTTACGATAAAAGGTTTTAATACAAGCACCACATAAACTTAACATTATCAATGATCCATGTAAATGGGGTCAATGTTAGAAGACCACTGCCAGACACCTAACAATCATTCCATACAACATACCTATCCACGAAAACTTAATGTTGACCAATGAACCATGAAAATTAAGTCAAGGACAGATGAACCCTGTCAGACGGACATGTACACCTTTCAGTCTTCCATACAACAAACATAGTTGATATATTGCTTATAGTACTAGTATCTCAGGAACAGAAGACATCCTATATACAAGGTTTGAAACATGCAGTTCTTCTACTTTCTGAAATATAAAGCTTTGTAAAAATCGTCGTTGCAGGATTAGTTTCCCTGTGTCTCGCATTTTACGACTTTTGTGTGAGACGAAAGATAAAAGACAAATTACAAATTCTATGTTCCATTGGAATTTTAACCAAAGATGAAGAACTGGGTCTTCTTTCACTGTATTGGATACCTAAACTACATAAGTGTCCTTACAAACTACGTTATATTGCTGGGTCGTTCAAGTGCTCCACGAAACCTCTTTCTAAATTATTAACATCAATTTTATCAGCAATCAAAGTCGGGCTTCAAAGTTATTGTGAAACTACCTTTTCTGGAGGTGCATGGCGTGAATCAGATAAGGATACTAAAAAATTCCAAAGATCTTTTAGAGTACAAGCAATCTAAGACTCTTTCATCTTGCAATAGTATTAAAACATTTGACTTTTCTACACTTTACACAAGTATACCCCATTCCAAACTGAAAGACAAATTGAAAGAGTTGGTCCTGCTTTGTTTCATAAAAAAGAATGGCCTACGTAGATACAAGTTTCTTGTCTTAGGAAGGGATAAATCGTACTTTGTAAAAAATCACTCTGATTCAAACAAAAAATTCTCTGAAACTGACATTATCAAGATGCTCGATTTCTTGATTGACAATATATTTGTTACGTTTGGAGGACGTGTTTTTTAACAAACAATCGGCATTCCCGTGGAAACCAACTGTGCTTTTCTTCTTGCCGACTTGTTCTCTTATTCGTATGAGACTGACTTCATACAGGAACTTCTTAGGAAGAATGGAAAGAAGTTAGCAGTATCCTTAAACTTCACTTTCCGCTATATAGATGATGTTCTCTCACTAAATAATTCAAAATTTGGTGACTATGTTGAACGAATCTATCCCATCGAACTTGAGATAAAGGATACAACAGATACAGTCTGCATCATAGCTTGACTTACATCTAGAAATTGACAACGATGGTCGGTTGAAAACAAAACTTTACGACAAAAGAGATGATTTCAGCTATTAAACCAAGAGTTCCAAGTTGTGCAGTTGAAATCGTCCCTTCGTACATTTTACGGACGCCATCACGAGTTGATTGACCGTTATGGAGTATCCGTTACACAGATGACAACGAATATGTTCCAATTGTCGTAACTACAATCCCGTCCCCTTTTCCCCGAATGTGACCTACCGAATTAGACTTATCACAGGGTGTGTAATAACATTAGCAACACGACGGGTGCCACATGTGGAGCAGGATCTACTTACCCTTCCGGAGCACCTGAGATCACCCTCAGTTTTTGGTGGGGTTCGTGTTGCTCAGTCTTTGGTTTTCTATGTTGTGTTTTGTGTACTGTTGTTTTTCTGTTTTTCTTTACCTTGTCAGTTTATTTTCGATTTATGAGTTCGAATGTCCCTTTGGTATCCTTCGCCTCTCTTTTACAACAGACTACTTGAAAGGATGCATGTTCAAGATCCACTTTAATCAGTCTGTCGCCATGGGAAATGAATAAAAGGAGATGTGAGGAAGACGAAACAGCAACATCAAGATTGAAGATACAAGTACTAATTGCATTAACTTTTGTATTCGAAAATTTTACATCAACAAATATTAAATATTAAAACAGATTTAATTTGATGTCATGTAAAATAAATGTTCAATGATTTCATCGAAGAAGTCATCAAATTTACTTTAATATTTAAAAATGGCTTTGTCAAGATCTTTCGGCATTGGCATGGTATATTTTACATGTGGCATAGAGTCTGTTCTCTGTGTTTTGTCTTCTTCGTCGGTGTTTTCATCAGCAAACATGTCACTGACCTTTTCTCCTGGGTTGATAGGTTTATTGTCGTGTTTCTTTAGTGTCATTGATATTTTCTTAACAATTGGTTTAATTTTGGTTTCAAGTACAGTTGTTTCCATGCATGTCTCTATTTTATGAGCTGATTCAACTGCTTTATCCTTCGAGGGTGCATTATCGTTTTTAACTTTTTTCACTAAAGCGATCAAATCAAAAGCGTCCTTTTTCCGTGAAGACAATAAACTTTTCTCTTCATCTGCTCTTTTTTCTGAATTAATATATTTTTCATGACTACGATATCTATCTCTGCTTTCTTTCCGGTCTCGGTATTTATCACGCAATCGATCTCTATCACTACTCCTACTACGTTGCCTTCGACTGTGAGCCTGTCCATGTCGGTCAAAAGTATCTCTGCTTCTTCGCTGGTCCCTACTTCGATTTCGATATCGAGATCGTTCATCTCTGCTATTGGATCGAGAATGATGCCTGTCAAGTGATCGATCACGAGATTTATCATCTTTTCTATAACTTGTTTTACCACTTTTCTGTGGAGAAACTTCAACGGATTTTGACATTGATCTGGATGATTTTAGAGATGAAGAAGAGGTTGATGATGAAGATGATTTTTTTGATCGGGAGCTAGATGATGATGATGACGATGATGACGAAGACGACGATGAACCAGAGCTACTTCTTGACCTTTTGCGAGAACGAGATAACGACTGCGTCTGTTTACTTCTGTTCCTATTGCTGGTATCCTGCTTTATATTTTCCTTTTCACAGAGTTTTGTTTCATGTTTCCTATCTTTGTTTTTTAAGTGCTCGTCAACATACGCCTTCTCGTCATTTAAATGAATTCGGTCATCTTGACGATCACGATCATCGTATCGGTCACGGTCAATATGAGACTGGTATTGGTCGCGCTCATTTATTTGTTTACTATGATCTAATGAATAACGATCATATTGGTTTCCCCTTGATAAATGTTCATCTCGATAACGGTAATCGGTTGGTGAGTATCTTCGAGGATATTCGTATGTTTGGTATGTTTCCCGATTTCGATCAAACGGGTGTTTATAGTAGTCATACCGGTTTCGATCTAAATCACGATGTGGACCAAGGTCAAATGATTCTAACGGTTGGTATGTTTGTACTGAACCAAAGGATCTGTCATCGATGGCTCTTCTATTCAGTTCTGGTAATGTAATTGAATTTTCATCGTATAAGAATCTGTTTTCAGCATCAAAATCGCGATTAATTTCAGACTCATCGTCATTCGTCGTTTCTTCCGCGTGTTGTTCTGAATCCTGTGAAGTTAGATAATTGAATGTTTTATGTTTCTCGGCATTTGCAGTGAAGTGTTGCATATAGACCCGCTCGAGATCACCATAAGAGAAGCTTGTCGTTGTGTCGGAGTCACCTATATTATCGTAGCTATCTTTCAACATGTCCAAACCAGGAATAGATTCAGCTGGGGTCAACTCTGAAATTAGAAAAATAATAACGCCGAGTTAAAACCACTTTTAAGACTTCGTGCGATCCGAACATAAAACTTTTATTTTATCAAAAGTCAGTATGTATTTTGGGCTAGCAGTATTGCACACCTTTAGATTTTATTTGATCTTAAATCATTGAGATAAAAAATTGTACTTATCATGGTAAAGTTATAGATGTACGCATGGAAATGCATTTCTCTCTTTCAATATAAAGTTGGTTCCTTCCTGTCAATCTTTCTAACTGATATATTCTTGTTTTAAAGATTAAATGGAAGAAATCATTTCAACTTTCACTACTAACATTCATTCAATCTGATTGAAATACAAATCATGTGTCAACACTTTCTGAAAAAAAAGTACAAGCGAGGAGTGATAATTCTATATATGTTCATGATGACAATAGGCAGGACGATGTTTGGCAAGGACATGATAACTGAATACTAATTTCCATGGTTTATATCCATTTGTGTCTGTCCTCGTCCTATTCCAATAACATTTTTAATAAAATGCTCCGCTGGGGCGCAGCTTGATACGACCGCAGAGGACGAACCCTGAACAGTTGGGGCAAGTATGGACACAACATTCAAGCTTGATACAGCACTGAATTTGGATTGTAATTAAATATTTGACACAGCATAGGTTTCTCACACAGAATGAAAGTGGTCTAAGAACTTAAAATTTTTTAATTTACCTATTCAAACCATATCGTTATTATTTGCTTTTATATATACATCAGAAATAACCAATTTAAAATGGAAAATTTTAAATAAAAAAACATACATGTGATGGACTGTGAAACTCAGATCAGGAGATTGGAAAATTTTGGTCAGGAGATTAGGACTCAGATCAGGAGGTTTTTAATCGACATAAAGTTTGTCGTAAATGTAACCGTGTGCTGTAAAAATTGTCTTTTAAAGTGTGTTTTCTTCAACTCTCAATTCGAATGTATTATGTATTATGTTTATAGTACCCTTGTACTTATAAAGTTTCTTTATCTTAATATTCTACATGTTCAATCTAAGATTCTTTTTTTTTAGTATGTTCTTTAAATTTTTCAATTCATATCTTTTATATCATTAGTCTATAGGACAAACATTGCAATCAGATCATTTGTTTACCTATCTGCATTTGCAGTTAGATTTTATTTGAATTATCAGAAACTCATTTAAATTTAAAACATGGGTCATAATTATTATATGAATTCAATTTAAGCCTTGAAAGAAAGTATAGAACCCTCAAATAATTTTCAAATTATTATTTTTTGATTTGTCCTAAGACATTTAAAATCATTTAATTACCATCCTTTTATGATTATTTGTTCAATTTATATTTTATTTATATTCTTTTAAAAATTTACATTATTTAAAGGAAAGTAACTTAAAACAGGATAAATCAGGGGAAGTAACCCAATAAATACACTAAGTTTTTATTACACAACGGCAGTTAGCCTGAGGTAAAAATCGTTGATTACCAGTATGTTTGACACCCAAGCTGATAAGTGAAGCCATATAATTATGCATGTTAATTGATTTACAGGTAAAATATAACTTCAGGTGATGTCAGTTACACCAGATGTCTGAGATGATATGTTGGGCAGATTTCATACACAGGATTTTTTTCTCTTCAACGCGAGGTCGGGAGGAGACCCCTGAAAACGGGATTATTGTACTCCCGTCGGGAGGTTTACATGTATGAAAAAAAGAAAAAAAAATCCCCCAAATTTTTTTGAACCCCCTTATGATTCATCACCCCATTGGCCCAAACTCAATCCCAGCTTTCCCTTTGTGGTATGGTACCTTGCAGTACAATTTCAGAGAGATCCATACACTTGAACACAAGTTATTGTCTTGAAACTAGAAAAATGCTTGTTTTTTGGCCCCTTTTTGGCCCCAAATTCCTAAATGTTTAGGGCAATTACCCCCAAACTCAAACCCAGCTTTCCCTTTGTGATATGGAACCTTGCAGTACAATTTCATAAAGATCCATACACTTACAGTTATTGTCCTGAAACTAGAAAAATGCTTGTTTTTTGCCCTTTTATGGCCCCTAATTACTAAAATTTTGAGGGAATTACCCCCAAAAATCAATCCCAGCCTTCCCTTTGAGGTATGGTACCTTGCAGTACAATTTCAGAGAGATCCATACATTTGAACACAAGTTATTGTCTGGAAACTAGAAAAATGCTTATTTTTGGCCCCTTTTTGGCCCCTTATTCCTAAACTTTTTGGGCAATTACCCCCAAACTCAATTCCAGCTTTCCCTTTGTGATATGGAACCTTGTAGTACAATTTCATAAAGATCCATACACTTACACACAAGTTATTGTCATGAAACTAGAAAAATGCTTGTTTTTCGCCCCTTTTTGGCCCCTAATTCCTAAAATATGGAGGCAATTACCCCCAAAATCAATCCCAGCATTCCCTTTGTGATATGGAACCTTGTGATACAATGTCAGAGAGATCCATACACTTACACACAAGTCATTGTCATGAAACTAGAAAAATGCTTGTTTTTTGCCCCTTTTTGGCCCCTTATTCCTAAAATTTGGAGGCAATTACCCCCAAAATCAATCCCAGCATTCCCTTTGTGATATGGAACCTTGTGGTACAATGTCAGAGAGATCCATACACTTACACACAAGTTATGTCTGGAAGTTACAAAAATGCTTATTTTTGGCCCCTTTTTGGCCCCTAATTCCTTAACTGTGGGTACCATAACCCCCAAAATCAATCCCCACCTTCCTTTTGTGGTATTGAACCTTATGGTAAAATTTCATTGAGATTCATTCACTTAAACTAAAGTAAGAGTGCGAAAACTAATGTGTATTCGGACGACGACGCTGGACGACGACGACGACGACGACGCCGACGACGACGACGACGACGACGACGACGACGACGACGACGACGACGCCAACGTCATACCAATATACGACCACAAAAATTTTTTTGCGGTCGTATAAAAATGAATCAATTTTTCACGAAAAATATAAATAAAAAGCGGTTCATATTCAAAACATAATAAAATTATCTAGACCATAATTCATCCAAATCTTATTTCCATCCGATGGAAGGTTCCAGGTATCCTCTGAAAATCGTTATTTTGCACACAAGTTTTAGACTATTTATTATTAACTATGGCCTTGATCATCCCCTTCGAAGTATTGACCTCAAAATTATTAGAAATCTTACATATATTTTTTAACAATGAATAATATTTATTTCACTTTTTGTTCTGTAAACAGTTAACTATAAAATTGAGAATGGAAACGGGGAATGTGTCAAAGAGACATCAACCCAACCAAAGAGCAGAAAACAGCCCAAGCCCACCAAAGGGTCTTCAACACAGCGAGGAAAACCCGCACCCGGAGGCGGGCTTCAGCTGGACCCTCAACAATAATGTATACTATAGTTCAGAGAAAATGGACGTCACACTAAACTCCGAAACATATACGCATACATCTTTTACTTAGTATTACTAAATAGCAATAGTTAAGTGACATCAATTGGTAAACGGTACTTGTATTCTTGTAATTTGTTAAACAAAAAACAAAAGACACGTGAAATATGAGTAATATTGTCAGATTTGTTTTATATATTGAATTGAAAATACATTTTTACCATACTCAAATATACGAGTTAGGTATCTGGAGTTATATATTAAAGTATATTAATAGGTAAAAATAATTCAGAGACAAGTGCCTGTGTCTAGATTGTATGAACAACCATCCTGTTGTGTAGAAACGTTCGCTAGACAATTTTTATTCGCTTTTAGTGACCATCTACCTAAGTTTTGTTCAAATATGGAGTAGTCACAAAGAAACTATGTTACACACATGCAGATTCCTGTCTATTGTTTCAACTTTGTATCTGTGCCCTTGATCTCAATAAGTGTTGACCACAAAATCAATATGGCTCTGTCTATCATCACATGTGACCACGTACCAAAGGTACAATCCGTGAGTTATTATCCAGAAAGCAATTTAGCACTTATTACATTCCATTTTAGTAACTGTGACCTGATCTTTAATGCATTGACCCCACAATTTTCGCATTTTTTTGTTATTGTCATTATAATTCTAGTTCTAAAATAAGAATCACTCGGTAACCACTTTTATGTCTATTTTAGATTCTTGCCTTTTTTAGTTTCTTCCCTTTGGACGCGTTTAATCGTGACTCATTAGATACCTGACCTTCAACAATGACTGAGCAAAACCCTTACCGCATAGCAAGCTATAAAAGGCCCCGAAATAACAGACGTAAATTCAAAAGAGAAAGCTAACAGCCTGATTTATAAACAAAACAATAAACGAAAAACAAATATGATATACACCAACAAACGACAACCAGTGAATTACAGGTTTCTATCTTGGGACAGGCACATACAGAATGTAGCGGCGGGGTTAAACACGCGTACAGGCGCTCAGCCCTCCCGTAACCTGGGACAGTGGTTTAGCAGCACACCATAAAAACAATCTACCGGTACAATAAAATGCTTCGCTGAGCGCAGCCTGATACGACCGCAGTGGTCCAACCCTGAACAGTTGGGGCAAATTTGGCCGGATACAATATTCAAGCTTGATACTGTCTGAATTTTGATTGTGATCAAAATTTTGACATAATAAAGGTTTCTGACACAAAATAAATGTGGTCAAAGATCTTACAAATCTATTGCCCAACACTGCGCAATTGAAAATTTCTTCTTTAAACTTTTCAAAAATTTGAAATTTGAAAATTTTTGAAAAAAAAATATGAATTCCTTAAAAAAATTTGAAAAAAAATTCCCCCACCCCCCCAAAAAAAAACCTTTTGGAAACCCCCCTTGGAGCAATTACCCCAAGACTCAATCCCATCCTTCCCTTTGTAGTATGGAACCTTGTAGTACAATTTCAGAGAGATCCATACACTTAAACACAAGTTATTGTCTGGAAACTAGAAAAATGCTTGTTTTTTGCCCTTTTTTGACCCCTAATTAATAAAATTATATATTCCCTCTTATCTGTTACACTTGGACTGATGTGATGTGTTGTGATGTTTATGTTATGTTTTATGTGTGCTTTAATGTTGGTTGTGCTAATGTATTATTATTGTTGTACCTTCTGTGTGCTTAATAGTAACTTTTTATAATTCATGTCATGTGTGTGCTTTATTGTATTAAGCTGTCTATTTTGTGTGCTTTATTGTATGAGGGTCTGGATAGGATGGGAGGGGGTGATAGGCCTTCATTTCTCTATTCTTTAAGTTTTAGCCATTATATTTCAGCACCACATTATTCTCTATTATTTAATCTCTTTTTTTGCCTATTTTTCTCTATTCTTAATTTGTTTACCCATATTCCTGTAGTATTGGCTTATTATTCTCTATTCTGTAAACCCCACCCAGAAACCTCTTGTATCAAGCTGTCTATTATAGAGTGGGGTGCTCATTTTCGCCATAATTTTCCATGTTTTCTGCAGTTTATGTTCATACCTTTAAGTTTTTGAAGTATACTGATATTTCTATATGAAGATAACATCAAAAGCAAAATATTCTTAGCTCGAAAACGTGTTTCTCTGAAAAAATTCATCTGAAAAGTTAGATTAAAGGCTATTTGAAATTTCCTGATGTTTTGTCATAGGGGGACACATATTCGCCGTTTTTACACATCTAGTTAAAACCAAATAACTACAGCTTTAAACAATATTGATCAAATCAATTTCATTATAGATGAATAGCAGACATTTCAAACGTGTAAAGAACTGAAATTTAGGGCAATCAGTCAAAGAATTACTAAGAAATACTTCTTTGAAATCTTTTTTTTCATTCAGGAAATTGGCCGAAAATCGTTGTCCGTTTTTCGGTCCTTTGCGGTAAGTGCCGAAATTTTTTCTAAGTTTAAAAAATAATCATATTTGTTATAAAAATATAATTTACCGGCATATTTCTTCCATTTCAGCAATCCTTTGAAGTTTCTACACCTCAAAATCATAAAACGGCGAAATTGTGTCCTCGGCGAATATGTGCGCTCCACTCTATGTGCTTTGTTGTAACTCTTTATTATACATTTATGCTTGATATGTGCTATTTCATGACTTGATATAATTATAATCTATGTTTGATGATACTTCAATTACACATTTTATGTGCAAAATAAAATATGTCAATATTATTATTTGTTTATGTTTATTTTATATTGTTTATAAGTTACATTGATTAAATAAATACCTGTAATTAACTGTTGTACTATTTCATAACAATTAATCTCTGTCAAAACAATTCCCGATTGTCCCACATTTAAACTTCCCAATTGTCCCACAAACATCTTCCCGATTGTCCCACAAAATTTCATTACTTTTTTACCTGTAATTTAAAAAAGTGGGACAATCGGGAAGACACCATCTATGATGAGTTTATTTGGAAGTTGTCACGGTGATTTAAATAAAGCTTTAATTAACAGGTCAAGACATCTCTTTTTCCATTAAAAATAAAAAAGCAAAAGGATAGCTTTATACAATAATAAAATATTTCTTACAAATATTAGAGATGTATGATACAATATTATGTTTCTCCGTTTCTCGTGAATCAGAATACACCGTACACACCCTCTGTGGTGCGTTAACCTTTCTTTGTACGTTGTCACGTGACTAAAATCAATCAACACGCCATGACACGGCTCACACATACACAGCACAACACTGTTGATTAGCGATTGATTTTGATTGATTAGACAATTCTGATTGGTTGAAGAGAATCACCCTGGAGGAATTACACAACAAAGACATTTTCTTTTTCGAGATAATCATTTTCTTGTTTGAATAACTGCCATACATTGTGAAAATGGATTTTAAATGTAAAACATGAAGTCGTCGAACGGGTTGTACACCTGGCAGAGTTTAAAGAAGAAATATAATGGATGCTCACACATCGACCACATTAGAAGCTTTAGAAAGAACAGCAGCTTGGGTACAACAAGTTCAGAATAGAGTCGAAGAAATGAAAAATTCACCGAGCAGTTCTGCCCTGGTAAGGTTTTTGTTTGTATTTCTGAATGACGTATGTGTCTGCACGATTTCCGCAATGTAATCATTTTATTGAAGCATTCATGTTAATTATCTTTATTTAATATTTAAAAAAAATAAAACCTTCATTGATCCAGGCATTCGAGAGTTAGTCTAACATTAAAATGATCAATCAACAATGTACATACTGTTAGAAGTGCACAAAAGGGGGAGGGTTCCATTGTTTTCAATTTTTTTAGCAAGGACATTTGTACCTTACCTTCATGAGGCACAACAAATGCAGTAATACAATAAAAAAAATACTGAGAAGATTAAACTTAACCCCACCAATACCTAGAGCTTATTTTGGCGCCTACGGCCTTACCTCTGTGGTCTTTGAATTACAATGTTTGCATGCAATGGTTAGAATATTAAGCATTGCATTGGATGTTTATCAAATTTTGAGCATGTTTGGATTTTGGGTCATGAATTAAATAGTAATACAACAAGAACCATATCCAGATGTGGATCCAGGATTTTGAAAAAAGGGGTCGCAGGCCCCCCAAACTAGACAAAATTTGTAGTGGAACCAGTAAAAAGTCTGGATTAACCATAAATAAAGCTCCATAAGGGGCTCAGGGACCACCTAAATTTGCCCTTGATAACCCTTCTTTTCATTATTTTTATTCCGTATAAAGACATATAATATTATATGTCTCTGATCCTTATGAAATATAATCAAAATAAGGAAAATTGAGGTTTATATGTTATATTTCACTTTAGTAATAATATATTGTAGACATTTTCATACCAACAGTTATTTATTACATGAACAATAAATCATCTGCCAAACTAGTTACAATATCACATTATTTATGCATTCATGTACTAAGGAACAAGAAACTAATCCCAACAACTTACAGAAATTCATAATAATTGTTTTGTACTATTATTGGTGAACTGAGTTACATGACTTATATTCAGATTTATGGACTTAATATCAATAATAATAATCAATACTTTAATCAAAGGGGAGGATGGAGGGGAAATACTTTAGTTTTCATTTTGTTACTTACATGTACAAGCTAGAAAATAAGTTATTATAAACGTGTAGGATACAGTACTAGTAACCACATTCCAATTAAAAATTACAGGCAGTTCTTATATTTTTACATACAACAAAATAGCAAAGGTGCATTCATGTCGGGCCAAATTTAATATTTTACAACATGCAGTCAGTTTTTGGCTTATGCAATTTCCCATCAACAAATTTATTATTACTGCCAAAATACTTTTATACATACCGGCACATGTAGATGTATAGTATATACATAATATATAAATATAATTTCTTATCTACAAGTATTGAACCTGACTGTTTCGAACTGAAATGTGGTGTTCAAATAAATGCAAACTGATTTCTACCAGTTGTTAATATATGTACATATACATTGTAATTAAGAGATACATAACATTATAGTCCCTCATTATAAAGAACTTCAGTATTAAATAATGTAAAATTTCAAAGAAACCAAGAAGGCAATAATAGTGCTTGTACATGTACAATAATAAATGTAGAATGTAGCATTTCAAAGAAACCAAGAAGGCAATAGTGCTTGTACATATACAATAATAAATGTAGAATGTAGCATCTCAAAGAAACCAAGAAGGCAATAGTGCTTGTACATGTACAATAATAAATGTAGAATGTAGCATCTCAAAGAAACCAAGAAGGCAATAATGCTTGTACATGTACAATAAATGTAGAAAGTAGCAGCAGATATTGATTGTGCACAAAACTATCATTGATTATTTACCACTCCACACACACTTGATATTCTCCTTGCAATACAATTGTGCCATGGCAAGGTAAAGGATATTGAACATAAAAAAGTCTGTAAAAGAAAGTACATGGACAATTTTACCAAAATAGTATGTAAATGACCAGAGACCACAATTAATGAGAGAAGGTTCAAAATTTTAAATACTTCACTCGTTCTTCAATCAATAATATCTCTTCCTTACTTTAAAAAATTGGAGTTTACATTATTCCTTCACTGCAATTTCTTATTTTTTGGTTATAGATACATGTTTAAGAAATATTTTTGTCCTATTTGTTGGTTTTAGTTGTAAAGCCCCCAAAAAAAAAAACATAATTGTGCTTCATTTCTCCCTACCAACAAAATGTGCCCTAATTTTTCATGTCTACATTTGATGGACATTTTTGAACAGGTAAAGTTGAAGTCTAGAACATGTCCATTAATTGTCGAAATAAAATATTTTAGAAAAATAAAATCATATTCACCAACCTTCATTTACCAACCTATGACATACCAGATAGAAATGTTGCATAGGTCAGACTAAAAAAACTATCTTCATAAAAAATCGTGTGTGCAAAAGATACATGTGTCAAACATTTCATAATAACTTGTGTGATAAAATTCAAATGTAATTTTTTTGTGAAACAAGAGCCACAGATCTTAGTACATACAATGTATGTATGTTAATTTAATCAGGTAACTAATAAATATATAATACATGTGTACATGTGTGTGTGTATATCATTAATAAGTAAAGAGCATAAAATTTATGTCTGAAGTAAACAATTAACTTGTTATATACATTCCTCAAAGGACATATGTATAGTACATTTGTCCATGTTAAGTAATTAATTACATTTGTATCAGATATACAGGGAGAGTATATAAAAGTTTTCCTTGAGTTTCAAATTACATTTTCTATTGTCCTACTTAAAGTCTTTAAGGTGTATAACTTTGTTTATATTTTTACAAGTCAATTATGTAAGGTTATGTAAATTTATGAGGCAAATGAGAATTAAAAACAATACATATATACCCTATTTATGTATATGTGATTGATGAAATCCCAACTAAACTAGTCTAATTTAAATAATTTTTAATTAGATTCTTAAAATGCTCCTGTTCGATATGTTGATATGTTGCCCTAATCAGAACAGGAGCAATTAAAGGATCTAATTTTATCATGTTTATCAGATTGCAACTAAACTGAAATTCTTTTCGCACAGACACACTCACATAAATATTGTATGAAAACACACTGTTAATCTTTTAAATATTTACAGGAGAGTACAGTGGAGGAAATGAATATTGTTGATGAAGATGATGTTAAAATGGAACCATGTGAAAAAGATGATAATAGTTTGACAGACCATCATGATGAAGCTCTCAAGATGGCACAAACTTTTCCTCCTTATATACCAAAGGGCAAGAATGGAAAATCCATAAATTATGTAAGCATATTCAAGGGTTTAATTTATACTTGTTCCTGTTTCTGAAGATTTTTTTTTCTAGTGTGACTTTCCTTTTTCTTCTTCAATAGAAGTTCTATATGTGTGTAATGTAATAATGTCAGAAACTTGAGGTTTATTATCGGTGAAAACAGAAATATTGTCATTTCAATAAAATCTCTGATTGAATTCCTTTCTATTATTTTTTTTTAAATTGGAAAAATAAAATTCTGGTGATCAAATTTTGTCTTTCTTAAATCCAGATCTGTTTTGTTTATGATCATTTAACACAACTTCAACTTAAACACCTGTCCAGGAATCTGTTCTGGACAGTCGACTTCAGTTTTTAAAAGTGCTTATTTGTCCCTTCAATTTCCAAATTCACTGAATTTTTTTTTTTTAAATGTACGATATCATATTAGTTTGAAAGACTTCAAAAATGAACTCTTTTTAAAAACGTAAATGTTAGCTTGTGCATGATGACAAACTTACAGTTTATTTTTCTTACACATCACAAATCATAATCTTATACATGTATTGCACTATTTAGTTTACTTACTGGTAAAAATGCTTTCTGTCATTTTCCTTTTTCAAATTGGGTCATGATTTATGGGCTGTATGCACTTTTTATTTGAACCTACTCATTGTCAACTGAAAGAAACAGGGTCTTCAATGGGAAATGTAGTACTGTAACCATGGTAACATTTATTATTTTTATTTCTGCTGTTTCAAATAGGTAAAAATGGTCTCCGATATCTATTTGTAAAAAGTTCAAAACTCTGAAACTTCATGTACATGACAAAAATCAACTTTGACTGAAGATGATCTTCCCATATGAAATAGGATCCCTGTCCAGTACCAACAGATGAAGTCCCTTTATAAATCTACCATCTTTTAAATGGGATATTGTACCGAGATGAAAATTATGTATAGATGCTTAAATTTGTAGTATATCTATAGGGTATTCATTAAACTTTCAACTTCTGTTAAATTTTAAGTGATTCTGAAATGTAGAGGGTGGATGATTGCCTGAGTAAATGTTCCAAATTTTATTTTTGATTTTAACCAGGAAGTTAATAAAATTACCCTATTACTACTCAAAATGTATTGCTCTCTTAAATGCCAGTCATG